CAGTAAGTGTGTGTCTCGCCTGCTTTCCCACCCCTGTGCGTACATGTGTGTGTGTATGTGTGTGCACATTTTGGCACTTCCATCTTGTCTTGTGCCAGTGGTGGCTCTGTTCAGAGGCTGGGCCTTCCTGCTGGTGACACTGAGATGCTGTGGCCAGCTCCCTCCTCAGGGCCTGGGGGAGCAGAGGCTGGGGGGCAGGAGTGAGCCTGCCTGCTTCCCTGCTCTCTCCTGGCTGCAGGGCTTTGCTCTAAGGCTGGGTGATGGGTTCCCAGTCCATGGTGGGCCCCCATCCTCAGTGCCTGCTGCAGGAAGCAATGGCCAGAGACCAGGTCCATAGCATAGGTGGCTCCTGGAGCCCAAGCCTGTACAAGAGCGTGGGGAGTCCAGCTGCAGTGAATGCTCTCTTTATCCCTGGCGGGTCCTCTAATATCTGCAGCACATGCATCCACCCTGCAGGGAGGATGGTGCGTCCCAATGGGCCCTGAGCCCGCAGTGGCAGGGGGGGGCAAGAGCTGGGACGTGAATAATTGACGTGGATCAAGGGCTGCAAACTGCATGCCTGTCACACTCCATGTCAGCTGGTAGCATCACGGGGGCAGCCTGGAGGTGTCCCCAGGGCTGCAGGAGGCTGGTGGGGGCAGGAGCCAGCTCCTCGTGGGTGCAGAGGGACTGCAGAGCTGCTGCAAGTGCTCACCTGCCTCTCCCTGGCTCTGTTGCAGAAGGACAAGAGGACACCATCCTGTCGTATGAGCCGGTGACGCGGCAAGAAAGTAAGTGCTGGTGCTGAGCTGCCCTGTGCCTGCTCCAGTGTGGGCACCTACATCCCTGGCAGAGCCAGGGTGACCAGTGCGACCTCCTCCTCCCCGCCTCTTGTGCTGTACCAGCACAGTGCTGGGTGAACACAAGTGGAGCTTCTTGTCTGTTGCATGCAGCAGAGGAGCCAGGCGTGCATGCCGCCTCGCGGAGCTTTCCCTGGCCTTGATCGCCCTGTTTTAATCAGTAGAAAAGACTTGTGACCTGGTCTGCAAGAGCAAGGGAGAGATCCAGAGCTAAAACTGAGCTAGGCTTTAGTCCCCAGCTGAGGACAGGATTTGTCCCTCGCTGCCTTGGGCCAGGTCCCTGCTGCAGAGCAACCCCCACAGCCCTCAGCATTTAAGCCTGCTCAATGCTCAGTCTGTGCAGACCCTTTCGCAGGCTGAACAGTCCTAGCCTCGGTGGTCTCTCCTTGCCAGAATCTGAATCAGACTCCTAGGCTCCCATCACACCCCCAGCCCCATGGCATCCTTGCCCCACTGTTCTGGTTGTCGGGCTCCTGCCCTGAGCAAGGGAGCAGCTTTGCTGATCCGCAACCTCAGAGACTTGCAGCACCTTCCCCGGGGCCGCGCAGATGGTTTGGGTCAGATGGGAAGGAGATGTTGACCATGACCAGGAGGAGATAAACTCACACGAAGGAGGCACCTTTGGGTGCCCGTATGAGCAGGAGCACCCACTGCCAGCAGGTAGAGGGCAGGTTGATGCCAAATGTGGCAGTAGGGTCAGCTGCCCGCAGCACAGAGGGAGCCTCAGGTTGTGGCTCTTGTTCGCAGTTCATTATGCGAGGCCGGTGATCATCCTGGGGCCGACAAAGGACCGAATTAACGATGACCTCATCTCCGAATTCCCACACAAGTTTGGTTCCTGCGTGCCACGTAAGTCCCAGCTGGCGCTTGGTGCCGTTGCTGGAGGGAGGGGAGAAGGGTGGCTCTGCTACTTGCAGGGTGTAGCCTGCAGTGGGGGGAGGGAGCTGGGAGCACGCGTGGGTTTTCTCTCTCCCAGGACGTTTGGCATGCATCACTCTGGGTTCGCTCATGATGCCTGCTCTCCTCCAGACACCACCAGGCCTCGGCGCGAGAACGAGGTGGACGGACAAGATTACCACTTTGTCGTATCCCGTGAGCAGATGGAGAAAGACATCCAGGACAACAAGTTCATAGAGGCTGGGCAGTTCAATGACAATCTCTATGGGACCAGCATTCAGTCAGTGCGGGCAGTGGCAGAGAGGGTTAGTGTCATTTGTCATTCCTGGGAACGGGACACATCCAGCCCAAACCTGGACACGTTCAGCAGTTCCCTTCCTCTCCCTGTGGTGTTAACGAAGGGCTGTAACCACATTAAGCAAGCATGGCACGAGCCTCTTCTCCCTCTGGAGTCCTGCCAAGCCACGTGGCTGCTTTTCTCGGCCACATTACTCCACCTTGGTGTCATCCGAACTCCACCTGAAAGCCCGGCAGTGGTGGCGCCAGCCTTGTGCTTGGGAGCTCGCAGGGCAAAGGTGCCCGGCTGCCCTTCTTGAAGCAGCGGCATTTCCTCCACAGGAATACAGGAATGTACTGAGGGCTTGTAAATTGTTTCACGTGTTCAGAGAAAGATTCAGTCCATTTGCAGTGCTGCTGTCCTGCCCTAAGCAGGTGGGAATGTAAGGCCGATGGGCGTTGGCTTGTGTCTTGGGACTGGTGTTTCACCTCTGTGGCTCCTCTCTTTTGTAAGCATATCCGTATGAGCAAGCTCTTTCTGCAGGGAGTAGACTGTGTGGGTAGGTCTGATCCCAATCATCTCCTTTTCAGGGGAAACACTGCATCCTGGATGTGTCTGGCAATGCTATCAAGAGGTTGCAACAAGCACAACTTTATCCCATTGCCATTTTCATCAAACCAAAATCCATTGAAGCTCTCATGTAAGTGCAGCGCCATGTTCTGTACCTCTCCAGGGCGAGCAGCTCTGGCATGTCGGGGGTTTGTATGTCTGCTGCCTGTGCTTTTTAGAAAGCAGCAGAGGTTGCTGCTGGTGCTGAACTTGTCCCTTGTTAAGAGGAGCTGGGCCCATTGCTGTTTCTGTGGTGTTCCTCCACATCTAATGCCATGGTGCACCTAGGCTCCATGGATTGCTCCAGCTTAAAGCCCTTCATTCACCCCAAAGAGGATTATCCATGGGAAATCCAAAAATGCTCCCAAATGTGCCTGATGTAACCTGCTCACCTGGGCCCTGAGTCCAGCCAGGAGAACTGCTGACAGCCCATAGTGGTGGATCACAGCTGGATGGTGGCTGAGCCAGGACAGCCCTGGGGAGCAGAGAGGAGATGTTTCCTGTGTGCCTAAGGGGGACCTTCTGCTTGTCCTGCTGCTCCTGGCCCTGGGGAGCACAGGCTGGAAAGGGTGCAAGAGCTGAGCTTGCAACTCTTCTGAGCAGCAGCAGAGATGTGAGGAGATTCAGTAGCTAGAGATGGACTCTGAGATCAGAAGAGACTTTGCTGGCACCAAGGGGACTGGGAAAACTTCTCAGGCCAGAAGGGGTTGAACTGCTTATTTGGATGTTCTATGAAGATGAGGGCACCTAGGCAAGGAGGGTGGTGACAGGCTGTGGAAAAACAGGGAGACTTCTGCAGTAGTCTCGCAAATTCAGAGTATTGTCTGGATTTGAGTCCACTTCTGTGCAATGGTGAAGAGGGGGTGTGGTGGCAATGGGAAGAACTGTTGGAAGTTGAGATGAGGTGCCAAGGCAGTAAAGAGATTGTGGGGAAGGGTCCTGCCTTTGAGAGCTACATCCTGCACAGCTTCCATTCCTGGTGTGCAGAGGCTTCCCAGGCACCCCAGCTTTGTGGGCTATTTTTGCTTCTGTTCATTGCGAAGAAAAAGAGCTAAGGTTCTGTTTTTTGTACATGGCAGGGAGATGAACCGGAGACAGACATACGAACAGGCCAACAAGGTCTTTGATAAAGCCATGAAACTCGAGCAAGAGTTTGGAGAGTATTTTACAGGTGAGTGTCCTGAGCAATATCTTATTTATTTTACTTTTCTGGCTGGCAGCTGTGACCTCTCTACCAGCACTGTCTTGCTGCAGGGTCATGGGAAAATGTCCAGCTTCATCAAAGCAAAAAAGACATGGCACTTTGCCAGCAGGACTCTGCAAAGAGACTGCTCCAAGATCAGTGGATAAGAGTAAACCAGCTCTAGAGAAGGAGACAAGTTGCCAGGCAGGATTTTCCGAGCCTGTGAAAGCTTATCGCCAACTTTAATAATAATAAAAAAAGAAAGAAAAACCCAGGCAGGGGAAGCACAGCATAGATTCAGGGTGCTACAAGGCTACAGGAAATAAAACTCCCTGCACGGGGGAAAGGAGAGTGTTTTTAAAAAGAAAAAAAGAGTCATTTTAAAGAGGAAAAATAAAAAATTAGTGACCTAAATGGTGGAGACTGTCCTGAGTTATTACAAAACATCTCCCAAAAAAAGCCTGGAAGTTTGGCTGGCTTCCTAAGTAGTCTTTGCTGAAGAGCCGGTCAGGGGCTGCCTGGCACTTTCTGCCTGCAGAGATGAGCTGCTCATGACACAGGCATCCTTGTGCATTAAGGAACTAATGTTTGTAACATGATTAATTTTGGAAACTCATGGGCAGGCGAAGAGGCAGAGAAACTGGTCTTCCATCTTTCCTCCCATGCAATAACTGTTTCTTTGTTGAGTTGAGGAGTGTATTGCCCACCTAAGCTACCAGGAAAAATCCCAAGCAGAACATTTTCCAAAAATGGATCTCATCTGAGCAAATGTATGGGTACAAACAGGGTAAAAGCTTTCCCCAGACCTCCTGTCCTCGGCAGCAGGTCCAGAGCTGCTGGCTGCTCTTCCAGGAGGAGTGCAAAGGAAGCGCACGCCACAGTTTTGCCAGACCCTTGCCATGCCATTGTGCGCTTGGATGGTGAGTTTGAAGTTGACCTGAGGAAGGAACGCTCTTGGCTGAAACCCATTGTTGAAAGAAGTGGGTAATGGGCAAAGAGATGGTCACTGTAGCAAGTTCTGTGCCAGGAACTTGTAGTGAGGGAACAGAGATGCTGGAGGATGGTCCTGGCTGGGCTACAGAGGCAGGCTGAATTACCAGAAAGCTTTGACCCTCCATGTGCATCTTCCTCCTCTGATGTAGGAAGCACAGTGAAGTGCTTCGTGTTGTGTCTGTACTAAGCAGCCAGACTGTCGCTGGTCTTTGGGTGACAGTTACCGCTGGGAGCGACAGCCATAAGCTGGCCTTTTCCAGCCTGACAGTGCTGCAGAGGAAGCAACAAACATGAGGAGCCTGCAGCAGCTGACCAGAGGGGATGGACAAATCCAGCACCTTGGGGTACGCGCTCAGCGCACACCGGCTAATCCGCGCGAGGCCCTCCCGTTCACCACAGCAGAGTAGCTGCAGTGCTGGAGCCAGCTGCCCGTGGCCTCGGCGCGGTGGCATGACATGATTTGCAAAGCTGATTAGCAGCCCATTGTGGAGAACCCAGCTAGCACCTCACACACGTGAGGAGCTCTGCCAGTGCTGGATCAGCTCTTGCTAATCCCCTTGGACAGGCTGGGTTAACCCTCGGTGTCATCGTGCACCAGTTACAGCTCCTTTGACATGGGTTATCTCGTTCATTAGTTGTTGGCCGTGCCACGCCAGCCCCTTTGGTGCAGAGTGAAGGCCTTTCCCGTAGGTCGCGGTGGGGAAGGTGCAGCGCTGCCTCATGCTCAAGGTCTTGCTTGTTCTCTCCTCTTCCAGCCATCGTACAAGGAGACTCTCTGGAAGAGATTTACAGCAAAATCAAGCAAATCATTGAGGACCAGTCTGGGCACTACATCTGGGTGCCGTCCCCAGAGAAACTCTGAAGATGTCCCCCACCTGCTTCCCTGTGAGCAGAAAATCTCTGAAGTCCCACCCCACCCAAGCCCTCTGCCCCAAGGGGGGGGAATATGAAAACTGTTCCTGCCCCCTTTTTTAGATCGTCGCAAAATTGAGTTTTCTAGTCCTGTTTCTTTTGTTGGGATGAACTCATCTCATTCATCATGTGACTGTTCCCACCGTTCCTGCATGGACCTTCCCACTGCTCCATTAGAGACAGATGAGAACCCATTCAAGGTCGTTTTTTATTATTATTATTATTATTAACTAAACCAAGAAACAAGATGGGAGGAGGCGGCTAAGGACTAACGTAAGAAACAAGTGAAG